ACAAAACAACAGTTTATGGGGTTCTAAGTGGCAAGCCACTCAATGACAAGCAACCCCCCTCACCTAAAATGATGCCTTAGCAATGACAAGCCATGGTTGATGAGAAGGTGTAAGGTATTGTTGCAGGGACGTGAATGGCACTTGATGAGAAGGTGTAAGGTAGGTATGGTAGAAAAAGTGTAGCATGTTCGCATAATATGACCCTCGATCTTCACCTTAGGAGCAGCATGGATCAAAGAAGGTAATGGACGAGGACCATGCTTGATAGTGATTCGTACATTTGGAAGTGAAGGTGAAACCTAGAAAGGGCAAACTCCTTTATAAATAGATGCCCTCATATGCTCATATGTACTATACACTTACTACCTCAGGCAAAAGACAAACTTGGGAAGATTTTTCTTTATTGAAAATTTTGAAAACCCCATAAAGATAACTAAATGATTTTATTCAATAGCCATATTTGATTTTATGTTTTTTAATATTTACATCTTGGATTAAAAGTGGTGGAAAAAGATATGAGGATTTATAGTCTTACTGAAAGTATGGCCCTTGATAGAACAAAATGACAGAATAAGATTCGTATATCCGACCCCAATTAGTTGGGATAAGTCTTTGATGATAATTAGATCTTGCCTTTAAAAAATTGGACGATTTCTATTCAATCTTGAGGCATTATTTTTTTCAAGCTCATAGAGAACACAATTTGAAAAAAAATTTATATAACATATGGGTTGAATAGATTATGCCTCCAAAAATTTGGTGTCTTAAAAATATTAGCCACATAGGGTTTTGCCCCAGGGACTAGACGGAGAGTATATGCTCCATCAAGAGCACAAAATCTTTTGGCTAAATAGAATAAGCAACATTTTGTGTGACTGTGATGGGTGACCGTTGACAAGTAACTTGCGTCCTTGATTTGCTAAATTTGCTAAAAGAGCTGGATTCGGACCCCACCCCAATTCAAGCCTTAAACAAATGATTTCAATGTCGCCTTGGAATATTGACTCGATACTTCTAAGTTGAAACTTTTAAATGGGATTTTTGTCTCTCCAAGCTATAAAATAAGAAGACATTCTAAAATAAAGGATAATTGTTCTATGCGTCGATGGACACATTTCTACATTTGCGGCCCCCTAGGTATAAAGCATCCATCTTAAAGATGGATGCAAATGGGCCGTTCATCTAAAAACAATTAAAACTAACTCTCCAAATAATTTATTTATACAATTCTTATTTTTTACTTTTGAAATTTGTTTATTTTTTCATATTAATGATCTTCATGTTAGAGATTATATGTTCTAAAAAAATTAGGTCCAAAAATCCATCTCAAAAATATATTTTTAAGATAAGACTCATTTCTAGATGGACTCATAGAAACCATGTCCTTTATTTAAAGCTGAAATGCATCTGCACATTGAGATATGGACACGGCTATGGTGAGTCAGCCGACTCACCTATTACCATGCGGTCCCTTGTCTATCTAACGTCCATCTTCTGAGATGGATGTCAAAAAACTGTTACATGCACTAAACGTTAAAACGGATGGCGAAAAAAGTAATTCAAAAAATAACATTTATTTTTTAAAAAAAAAAGAAAAATTCAAAATTTAAATCATTGTTAGGGTTGGGACTATGGAACCCTAAAATTTTGTATCGAAAATATATCTTTTAGATATACTTTATACGGAGCTTGTACAAAAATAGTGTGAGACGGCTGACTCACCCAACCCTTTTGAGATATAGTGAGGAGCAAGGTACACAATTCATGATGCCCTTTTGTGGAGTACCTATATATGCGCATGAGGGTATTGTGTACCTTATCACAATTTATTTTTGATATAAGAATAATTTTTTTGAAAAAGCATGCAAGGATATTGTTTATTTTTAGTATGAGGAGGTCACAATTACGATCATCTTTTAGATTTCAAATTGGGTGGTTGTGAGCGTGTCATTGATTAAACTTAAAATTAAAAAACAAAATATTCTTGAACTTCATGATACATCACATGCCATCCAATTTGATATCTAATGGCTATAAGTAAAGATAAATAGTCTTGTAGTGTACAACCCCAATTTTTTTTGTGAAATCCAAAGTCGTGATACAAGTCACAATCATCTTTAGCCATTAGTTGTGAAATCCAATAGGCAAGGGTGTATCATGAAGTTCGAAAAAATATTTTTTGACTTTGAACCAACTCAATGCAAGACCCACATCTAGGGCAAAGATGATTATGTTCGTGTGCGTGTGTGTGTGTATGTATATATATATATATATATATATAGGGGGGAGTTGCACCACTTGGTGATGTTTACCCTTAAGTCCTTAACATTTTTTAACACTTAGATACCCTTATTATATAGTGTAGTAACTTTTTGTTTAGGGTATTTTTAAGTAATTAGTCAATGATAAAGTATAAATTCCTAATAGAACAGAAGCATTTATTAACAGTAGATAATGATATCATCGACATGGTGTGTGATATCACTCATTAATTATTTTTCAACTATTAATAGAATGCTACTATTTTTTATAGAAATATCCATTCTCCCTTTTTAAATGACCAAAATCCTTTTATTTGAAAAATTTTGTATTACAATTCAAGGGTACATGTCTAAAAAATGTTGAAGACTTTAAGGGTATAAACCACCAAGTGGTGTAGCGTAACAAAACACACACACACACACACATATATATATATATACAAAAATGTCATTTGTGTTTGATATAAAGAGGTCACAATCATCATTGACCATGACATTTGGTATCATGAGATTTAGGATGTGTCATTTGGAGATAAAATTCAAAATAAAATTTCTCAAATGTTGTGATGTATTTTCACTTATTGGATTTCACATACAATGGCTAAAGGAAAAAGTTTACGTAAGGGTGAAGCCCTAAACAATCAAGTTAATACTCAACTCAAATTTTTTAGAAGAGGTTGTTTCGATGCCTAAAAATCCTCAACTCAATCATCTCGACTTCAAGATGTATGAACATGAGAAAAAATGAATTTCAAATCCTAGAAATATTGCATCTTGTAATGCATTTTTTGGATTGTCAATTCCCAAGATTATCAAGTGTTCATGCATTTGCTCTGATCTGCACTATTTTTTAAGCTTTAAATTTTATAATTAGAGACAAAAATAAATTTTCAAGTCATGACAAAGATTTCCAGTATTGGAATAACATTTTTTGGCACTATTTCAAGGTGCGCCCTAATTGTTTAGGATCTCAGCCTTATACAAACCACACCTATGGCTAAAAATGATTGTGACTTTTTTATACTAAAAAGAAATGGTCTCCTATATTCAATCCCAAAAAAATAAATAATCTTATTGTATATGCTTTTCCACACTTTAGAATTGGGGCAATAATGGCTGGCAATGAATAGTCAAGAAATTTGAGAAAGGTATGTATAGAGTATAAATCAACAAGAAAATATCATGTGAACCACATTAGGGATCATTGATGGATAAATGGGCTAGAGATAGAGAGAGAGAGAGGGGTTATAACCTCTAAGTAATAAAAGGGGTTTGCTTCACAAGAAATCCGATGGCAATGCCTTTAGGTGTACGCACAAGGATGTTTCCATATACGATATTAATAGTAGTGTGTGACAGTTCCAAAGAAAGAAGTATTACCCATGGTTGAGGATAAGGGTGGTTGGACCTGGCTTTTATAGAAAATAAAGCTACTGTAATTGCTTTTTGAACATTAAAAAATAAAAAATAAAGCTACCATAATTACAATAATATTAAAAAAAAACCAATCCTACCATATCGCAAAGGAAAATTGTTTGGTGCGTCCAAGCCCGCACTTGTTACTATGCGGGCTTGGAGATCTACACAATCCACCAAAAACGGAAGTAAATAATAGTTCTTAAAAAAGAAGAAGTAAAATCAACGGTTCAAATATTTTTTTCAAAAAAATATGATTTCTAGTTTTTAAAATTTATTAATTTTTATAGATTAATAATCTCTATGTTAAAAGTTATATATTCACTAAAAGTTAGGATCAAATTTTATTTAAAAAATAAATTATTGAGGGGCCGTATTTCTACACGTGAGTGCGTGGCTCATAGAAACCGTCTCTCACTCTATAACTCTGCCGTTTGCTGGTCTCTCTCTCTTATATGTTTCCCTTCTTTTGTATCCTACTATTTTTGCATAGGTGCCATATATGGCAAGTGTCACATGACAACAAACACTTTACATTATAAAATGGAATTAAATAAGGACAGTGAGAGAATAAGATAACCCGGAAAAAATGTTTTTAGAAGTAGCAACAAGTAAACTATATTTCTGCAGGAGCATACTGTGAATATACTCCCTCACTCAAACACCTATTTTGGAAAAGAATTTAGTCTAAAATGTGGTTCAAAATTTGGGAACCACAAGAGAATTACTATATATTTATTTTCAAAAGAACAACTTTAAATTTTGGCGTTTTTGGATACTTAAATCTAGCCTTTCAAAAATTAGATGAGGCATTAGTTTTTTCTAGGGCATAAAGCTTATTTTGAAGTTTTTTTTACTAAGATTAGTCTATAGGTACTACTAACCCCAAAATTTGAGATCTGAACATTACTCCTAGCATATGTTTTGCTGAGCGAGTAAATAGATAGTTGCATGAGGGAGTAAATAGATGGTATACTCCTTTTATTTCAAAAATATTTTGATAAAAAAAAAAACCCTTAATTTTCTAAAAAAAAAGGCAGAAAAACCCCTTAAATCATGAAAAAAATTGGATGAGAGAGTGGAAGAATTTTCTAAAAGAAGGAAAACCCCTTGAATCATGAAAAAAAAAAAAGGATGGGAGTGAGAAATGGATGAGAGAGAAAGAGGAAGAGAGAGAGAGTTTGTTGGGTTTAAAGACTTAGTCTAAAAATTCATTCCTTTCCGTTACGCGAACACGTTGGTCCTTATCATGTTCGAGAGGGCGAGGTCAATATGACACGTTCCCTTATCTCCTCAACACTAAGCAAATTTGCACATATTTTTCCATTACTTTAGGGTTCATTCCAAATTAAGCCTTGTCCTCAAGCCCTTTATGCGTATCCCCTTCTCTCCTTTAAATAATAATATAAACCATTTTTTTTCCTTGACGATACCTGCACTGTTATTATTCATATCCTCTCGTTATAGGATTATTTTACATTTGGGTACGGTTGAGTTTAAGGTAAGGTTTGAAAAGCATCTTGTATTTTCTTCATTATAATAACAATGGTGTTTTCATTATAATGATCGTGATTTCTCCCTCTCATTCTCCCATTAGTTTTTTAATGGTTTTGAATTGTTTGATGATGGAAAAGAGTGGGTGTCAGCAATCATATCTGCTACAAGACTTTTGCTACTGTGTGTTATGTCACTGTTTCATTGTTGTACTATCAAGAGGTTGGGCCATGCCTGAGGGACTAGAAAAGTTATTTTTTGATTTGTTTTTGTGAAAGTACTCATTTGGTGGGACTCTGTGAGATTTGGTGGGCAATCTGTGAGGGTATGCTTCAGGTTTTGTGGGGGTGATGAGTAATATTGGTCATTGCCATTAGTGACTGTTCTGCAGTCATTTTTTGCATGCACACATGCCATTGTTTTTTTGGTTTTTTTGATTTGTTGCTAATTGGTGTTTTGGATTTCCTATAGAGAAAGGTTGGTTGAGGATTTTTTTATTCTGGATGTTTTGAAGAAAGAAAGAGAGAGGTTCATTGAAGTGTGGATGAGCCATTTCTGTTTTGAAGAAAGAAAAAGAGAGGTTCATTGAAGTGTGGATGAGCCATTCCGGCTATTTGTTATGAAAAAAGAGGATTGTGTTGAGGAAGAGAACCAGTTAGCTTTAGTGGCTTTTTCTTCTGGAAGTGATGTTGCCAGTGTTGCCCAAGAACCATTGGGAGCCCAAGAACCATTGGGAGCCCAAGAACCATTGGAAGCCAAAGAACGATTGGAAGCCCAAGAAGCACCGGAATCACAAGAAGCTATTGATGGAAAGAGCCAGCCCTATCCTAATCCGCTTGCCGAGTACGAAGAAGTTAAAGTAGATTCGAACCTTTTTATGGATACACTTCAGACGCTTCACTCTACATTGGGTACCAAATTCCTGTAAGACAAATTTTATATTTGTTTTTTTTTTTTCTTTTTTTTTTTTAATTACATTTTTTTGTTTGATCAAAATTGTCCCCCCTCCTTTTTTTTTTTTAATTAATTCCATTCAGTTTTTTTTTTTAATTAATTTCATTCACTTTTTTTTTTTTAATTCCACTAATTGATGTCCTTATGTTGGGTTTTTTTGTCCTACTAATTTCTTGAAAAAAATGTTTACTCGGGTTTGATCTGAAATGCATTATGATCTTTTGATTCCTACTGTCACCATATCATACCATTCTATTTTTATTGGGGTTTTTAATTCCTAAATTTGCTGAAGAGGTCAAAAGACTCAAAATTCACCATCCTATTTTTATTGGGGTTTTTAATTCCTAAATTTGCTAGAAGAAAGGTCAAAAGACTCAAAAAGACATCCATAAGCTGAAATATATCATGGTTCACAGTATACATAAGTTGAAATATATCATGGTTCACAGTATACATAAGTTGAAATATATCGTGGTTCACAGTATACAATCATCCAGTGAGGGTATACCTTGATGAAATGTCGCGCATATACATTACTACATGACACTACATGTTACTTGTATAGTACGCTATATGTCACATGACTGTATGTACAATTGGATGTTCCAAATGAACCAATTTTCGCTCAATCCATTGATGTCTACTGAATCATTCATCTAAACATCCGATTTCTGAATCATTCATCTAAACATCCGATTTCTGAATCATTCATCTAAACATCCGTTATCATCAATAGATGCTTGAACTAATGTGCATGGAACATTTTATCTAAACATCTACATCCCTGATTTTATTAAGAGATTTTAAATGTTAGTGGGATTATCTAATTCTCATTTTTTTTGTGGACATTCTGATGTTATTATTTAGATTTCTTGTTTACATTGTGATGTAAAGCATGCCAGAGTGTCTAAATTAGATTGTGTTTCCCTGCTTGGGAAATTTGAGTACTGGCCATGGTGAAACCCTTGCTTGTTTTCCTAGCCGTACAGTTTTCCCTGCTATATGCAAGTATATAGTATAGATGCTATAGGCAAGTATAAATTTGTGTATGTATAATCTGCTATATGCAAGTATATAGTATATATGCTATATGCAAGTATATATTTGTGTATGTATAATTTCATACATGTGAATGTATCCACCCATGAATACTCGCATGCATGGACATATATACATACATTTTTGTGCATGGCTTATACATATATCTACTACACATGTGTACATTCATGTGAACACAAATGTAGTTGGTGAGGATTGCAACACAAATGTCCAAGGTTGGAATGCCATCTATGTATGCATGTATATTTAGGTAGATGCACATCACATTTGTATAAACACATGTTGGGATCTGGGATGTATATATGCTGTTTTTATCTTTTTCAAATAGCAGATCTAAATTACGCTACTGGATAGGGATAATTTGGTTATGCCAGAGACCCATCTACTGTGTTGATAATAGTACTAATGTGTTGGGTATTAAAAATTGGTGCCTAAAAGTGTGTATACCTGCATTTGCATTTGCTTTTGACAAGCACCTGATGTGATTTACAATAGACAGCAACGGTATTTTCTATTAAAATTTAGAATGTTATCAAAGTTCATTATAACTGAAGTGCATTGGTCATACCATCAGACCACCACCACCCTTCCCCTCCCCCCCTCTCCCCAACTGAAAAAAAGAATAGAAAAAAACCACCTACCCACCCACCCGCGCACATGCATGATGTCCTAGACCTATGCGACATTTTTGTGCATTCAAATGCCCTTCCACGATACTCTTTTGATGAATTTTAATGTTATAGCAAGGTTCTCAGAACCAGACTGGGCCCTATTTGGATGAAGTGTCTGGATCAGTTGTTTATTGTAATCTGACTGGTCCAGATATTGTCGTCGAGTTTTCTTTTTCTTTTTATGGTAGAAAATTAAAAATTGAAGATGAAAGAGAAGGGGTGGCTGATGGGGGAGGAGAAGTACAACCAAGAATGTATTCTTAGATCAATCATGTCAAGCATCTTTGGTTTTCTAGCATATATAAAAACTACCGGCCATCATCTATACAAGTGTGTGGCTTTTAATCCCATCTTTCTTTGAATGGGGTTAGACATTCCATCCAATGCGAATAGAAAATGACGAAAAGAGAGCCAGTTAATAAGATGTGTTCCTTACTTGAAAAATGAGAATTAATGTTCACTCTAGACAAAATGAACTTGTGGGCCAGTCCACATTGGACTGCTTTTTGGCCTGTTCTAGTCGGTTTTTAATATTTGAGTTTTTGCTTTTTCTCCATACTGAAGTTTAGTGCCTACTTCTGGTCAAAGCTAGTTACACCAGCTGACCTGTCCAAATTTGATGACTTTATTTTAGGACTTCATTCTAGGGCAATTGTCAATGTTACAATGGAAATTATTGGTTAAGGATTTGTGTCTGTTTGGAGGGTATGGCTCAAGAGGTATGAAGTCATCCCCATGGATCATCTACTGCTTTCCTAACAGTTAACTTATCTCTCTATCTTTTACCAACAATTTTATTAACCCCTGCAATCAGTGCTTAAAATCTCAGAGTTGGCTTGGGACTTGGCTTTGCATCAATTCAAGTCAACGCACCGAGCAAGTAGACTTCCTAAGTCTTATAAAACTCAGATGCTCTTACGAATATTTGCTATTTCTATAAGACTTGGTTAAGACTTGGATAGACGTCAATATGACTTTGCACTCGCCCAAGCCCTATAGAAGGCTTTGTGAGTCTCAGGGGTGTCTTTGCTTACATGAGTGCAGGTTGAACAGTTTTAAAAAATTGGCACTTGCCTCATCTGAGTTGACTCGGATGAGTCCCCAGTTTTAAAACACTGCATTAATGACATACATTGCCTATCTTGAAAAAAATATATTATGCAACCCTAAAATTTCAATAAACAAAACTAGTGATGTATATTAGGACCCCATTTCGATGACATAACAAGTCAAACAAAAAAGCAGCTTATTTAGGAACAAGTGAAAAACAATTTCTTTCCAAAAATGCAGGCTTTACTTAATAAGAGGGGGCATATATTGGAGCGCATCAAGCTCAGCCTTATCTTACTCCTAAATGAGAGGAGGAAAGTTCTCAAAATTTAGTCTGTCCGTGGTCAATAAGGATCGGTACAAATTTTTCCTTCTACATTGACAATTTTTCTAATTGACATGGGCATTTATGAGATGATGTCATGTATAGCATCAACCACTTGGGGCATTATTGATATGACACAAATCAACCAATGCTCGATGTTGCACGCCCTTAACAGTAATTCCCATGATGTTCTATGACATGGCAAGACTTTGACAAAATGCCCTTAATATATTTTTCTTATATTTTGAAAACTCTGCATAAATATTAATTATTATGTAATAAATAATTGATACAATCCCTTAACAAAAACATGTTTTACCAAAAAATTGGGTATTTATAGTTGTTATGGATGTTGTGCATATCCTAGTTCTTGGGAACAAGATCAGGAATGGTTCCGAGATTGGGACAGAATCGATGGATTGAGGCTATTTAGAAGATCCCTATGTTAGGAATCCATGTCTGTACAACCTCAAACTTAAGAAACACGATCCCTGTGTATTAGGGATTGAGTTCCTCCATTAGATAAGATCGAGTATAATAATATCAGGGAGCAAGATTCTCTGATGAAGATCCAAAGTTCTTGAGCGCATGTTGTTGGTTACTTAGGGTCCTCACCACAATTGACTCTACATCATGATGGACATAAACTTCCATATGACTGGGACCAAAGTTAGGGGATTTGGAGGCATGAGTGAGCTCGATTTCTTCAAAGTGTTAAAACACCCCCATATCGGTAAATTTCAAGGTGCAAATGGGTCCAGATGAGTACACACTTATGATATAGCCAGATTGGAGATAACATTCCGAGACCTTGAGTTGCACACTCAAGAGACCCGTACAAAACCACAGTCAGAAATTACTAATGTCTTTCCAATCGGTATAATACCATTCAACATCTATTGGAAAAATTCTTTTCTCTCTCAATTCAAAATTATCTTCTAATCATTAAACATTGATTAGGAACAAAAATTTGACAAACTTATCTCTCACTCAAATAATTTCCAATAGTAGGAATAAACTTTGATTCGGTATAAAATATGAGATAATTTTTTTTGGTATTGATCAAGTTGTTGACACCCTTTGAAATTTTGGTAGAACCTAATGTCTAAATCTCCGAAAACACTCTTAGTCCTAGTTAAATTTTCGTTAGAATTTGATGCAGGAAGGAAATGTGGGAAATTACATCCACCATTTTTCTGAATCTTAAACAAATAAAATCTGCAATAATGGAGAAAAAACGTGACTGTAATCAAGCCAAGAGAAGATTAATGTTATTTTCATAAAATAAAATTCATTCCAAATAACATAAACCTCTCAAAATTTTACATTTGACTTCTTATAAGCCTATGAAGCCTTAAAATCAACTTGAGACCAAGGAAACATTTAAGACTCTAAAATACCCTTGAACAATACAAAAATTTCAGAAATACCCCTGTGAATAGTAAACGTGTGATTAGTACTCTTGAATAGTAACATGAACAATACCCATGAACAGTAAATAAAATATAAAATATAAAACAACCTAGATTCCCTAGAAAATGTAAAAAACTAAAACCAAAATATACATCTCTTGAAATTAAAGAAAAATTTTAAATTAGAATAATTTTGTCTTGCATCATTCTCCCTTGTTCGGAAAAAACTTGTCATCGAGTTTTAAAATGTGTAAAGATCAATTTAGCATCAAAACCACCTTCAATCTTTTCTTTATTGGCTCAAAGATTATTTGTGGTAAAAAGAATTCCTTAAGAAACGGATCCTGATATGTATATTAAGGAACTAATGCAAATTTATCAAGGCTATCCTTGAACTCCCATTGAAAATCGTGTAGGAAAACCTCAAACCCAATTTTCTGGTATTTGGAGGTTTTCTGGAAATTGGCCCTCTGCTAGCCTGTGCAGAGGTGCTGCCTAGACGCTCGCCTTAGAGGAGCTACCTAGGTGGCGCCTTGCTTGCCTAGGAAGCTCACCTAGTGGGCACCTAGGCATTTTGACCTTCCGGCCACCGTAGTCGAGATCTTTGAACAAGAGTGGGAGTGTTTATGTTAGTTGCCTGACGTAGAGTTAGGTGGCCTGGCTGGGCAATGGAAGTTTTGAACAATGAGTGGGCGTGTTTCTGTTAGTTGACTGACATAGGTTAGGCGGTTTATAGCCCTGGTCATGTCAAAGACCTTTTCTTCTCTGCATATGGCATTTCCTTAGAGGGTTTTCAGAGGATCATCCCTTGTTGAGGCTGGAGATATGTCTAGGGATGGTTTGTAAGTTAGGAGAGCTTCACAGTATCTTATGTGTGGATGTAGCCTTGTGAGAGCGAGGGCTAAATCTTCAACAAACTTGTGCTTGACAAGTGCACATGGCAACCACATTGTTGGGAAGCAAACTTGCTTGTTGGGAAGCAAACTTGCAAAAAGATAATGTACATGTGCATAGATAGTGTCCCCCTTGCGCTATAGTGCTATGTGCATGTGCATGTGATTTGCTCATAAGGGGGGAATATGTAATCCACATTTCAGGACCACAATTTTGCTACTCATTGGCCACCTTTGACGAGCCAATAGCCCTTACATGAGACTGTATGTCCTGGGTCTTGTTGGGCTGGTTTGAGAAGATAGAGAATCATGGTTACTGGGTCGGGTTGAGTAACTTGACAGTCACTTTTCTTGATCTATTGGTGTCAATCCACTTTAGAAATTTTGGTTTTGGTCATAGAAATGTTTCTGTAATTGCAGAATATTTTTTCAGAATTTTTAAAACCATTTTCAGTAGAGAAAAACAGCATATCTAGAATTTCCAGAATTATGGAGGGGCTAAAGGAACATGTGTAGGGCCTTTGGATCCAGCTGCACATGTGCACCACACCCACGTGTGGGATGTGGGGCCCATAGGGCCCACACATGAGATGCCCCCTCCTCTCTTCTCAAATCTCTAGTTTAAAAGTTCAAAAAGTTCTTTTAGAAGGAGAACTTGTAGAAATCTTTGGAAAAGATTTGGTGACCTTATTTTGCTGTAGTAGAGAATATTTTATGTTTTGAAAATATTCTTTTAATATTTGTTTTTGATCAAATTTTTTCACTTTTAGTTCCTACAATCGTTTATGAGTTCTAGTCGAGATAGAATATGGTTTTATGTTAGGTTGTCTGGATGTGGATATGGGCTTTATGATTAGTTTTATCCTAGGTTGTCTGGAAGTGGATATGGGTCAATCATTCATGGGGATAAGGTTTCTAAATTCCTCCTTATATCATGATGGCTCATTCGTGGGATGGATAGCTCATATTTGTTTCTCTCTCACCTCATATATTGCTTAGGAGTTATGTGGTCAAGATGAATTCTAAATTTCTATATATATATATATATATATATATAATATAAATATTATTATAAGTAATATATAGATAGGCATACCTCTTGGAGGCTATAAATGGAGGGACTCCCTCATTTTCACCATTTGAAATTCCTAGCTCTATCTCTCAGGTACTCTCTCCTCCATGCCTATCTCCCTCTCTCTCCTCTCTAGTCCCAAGGCGTAGCACACATTACCTTAAGGAAATTAGGGGTGCACGACCCACAGATAACATAGAGGGGTACGCTTCACCCTAATAGGCTAGGGAGGTGCCACTTTGGCATGCCCTGGAAAAGACCAAAAGGGGTCTAGAGAAATCCTAGTATTGTTTTATGCTCTCAAACCCCAGATCTGAAACTTCCTCAAATCAACACCCAAAAGAAACAAATCAACAACCAAATATCAACCAATATGAAAATCTAAGAACTTCACAAACGTAATTTTCCTCCACTTTTTTTTTTTTTGATTTATTTGATTAAAAAAAGCTACGGATGTGGTTGTTTTTAGTTGTTTGGGGGGTTTAATATACCCCCAAACCCTTTCCCCCTTTTTCGGGGCTCAAGAAGTAAAAAATACCCCTTCTTGAGGGGTTTTTTTCACAAAATCGATTGGCTGCATATGCGGATTATGAAGTATATGTGGGATGCGGTCTCATATGCGGGCGCATCTTGCCAAAGCACACATGCGAACTGTTGCAATGCGCTGTCCAGCGGATAACGCTTTATGAGGCCGCATATGTGGGGATGCAACCGCATTTTAAAACCATGGTATTTAGGGGTTTGCTTCTTATTTACAACATTGTTTTGTGGCACTTGTAAGTGGAATTTAGATATATCAATAAAAGAAGGATGTGGTTTCTATAAGGCTGCAACCTTAAACAATCCAATTAAGGCGCACCTTCAAATTCTATCATAATATGTAATTTTGAAGTAAAGATTCCTTAGGATTATCTTAAAATCTATTTTCATCTATAATTATAAAATTTTAGACAAAAAAATAGTTTAAATCAAGTAGATCTATAAACATATGAAAATCTCGAAAATGGACGGTCTAGATAATGTGTTTCAAGATGCACTATTTCTGAGATTCAGAATCTTTGTTTTTTCATATTCATACATCTCGATGTTGAGATGATCAATTAGAGAGTTTTTAACATTAAAACAACAACTTTCAATGGATTTTTGAGTGCATCTGTAATTCTACATTTAAGGTTGCAACCTTATATAAATTTTTTCCATAAAAGAAAAAGAAATTGTTTTTTATTTTACTCTCTGGAATTTCACATAGCCCATTTTCATCATGTATGTGCTTGTGTAGGCCTAACTAATTTATCATTGGCAGCTTTTAGTTATTGGATGTTGTTTATGTAGGATACCAACTATAGGGGGCAAGGAACTGGATCTGCATCAACTTTTTGTTGAGGTTACTTTCCGAGGGGGTCTTGAAAAGGTATGACTAATACTAAGGGCATCAAATATTGATATCCTTCATTGTCACTTCATTGTAAGTTGGTGTCTATGGATCACATAATGTTCCATGTTGTACTCTTCAAAGACGCAGGTCTTGGAGTGATGCATTCTTTGATAGCATGGTTATTTTATATGCTGCACATATCTTATTCCTTTATGAATAATTGAACACCCATTGGCTACTTTTTTAATACATATCAGATGAATTACGAGACATCCCTTTTTTAGCTTTCATCATTGCTGATACTTACTTGGTTGGCCTTTTAAATTGATTTGCAGCTTTTGCTGTCATCCACTATAAGATTGTCTCTTGGCATTTTTCCCTTTTATATATTGTTATATTTATAGCCAAATTGAAGTACATTGTGAAGTGCTACCTTTTTATATGACAATATTTCTTTTCTTATAAGGAGAATTGACCTTTTCTTGTTGTCATGGATTAATAATTCAGCTTGGTGAACCGAGCGACTCGGACAAGTTGATTTGTTTAACAGTATTGAGCAGGAAAAAAACATTTAAATAAAAATAAGTGGATTGTGAAAAGATTTGATGAATTTATTACATATTTTGATGGAGTTATCGAAGAGGCTCGAATGAGGGTTTGATACATGTCTGAGTGCCGCACAGTTTAAAATGCAGCAAATCTAAATAGTGACATCCATAGGATTGATTAAATATCAATATTATATTTAAATTAGTTAAAACATACAATCTAAAGCCATAAGGAACAATGTGGTAACTCTTAGCAATCCCGACCGCCGTCGTCCCTATCAGTGCCCATCGGTTGAGGAACTCTCTCCACAAATTGAATCGTACTAATCTCTCTACACAAATTAAATCTTACTACTCTCACTCCGCTTCACATGAAAACACAAACTGTTTCTCTCATTCACCAAAGCTCTCTCACTCTCTCACTCTCTCGATCCATCTCAACAAAAGTCAGTCCTGCTTCTCTCTCTACATAAATGCAATAGTACTAGTCTTTCTCTCTACATATAAGCCCAAACTGTCTGTCCCTTTCCATACCTCTCTCCCCCGCCCCTCTCTTTCTCTACAGCATATCTTATTACTTTCTGTCTACATAAACCCAAAATGTTTCTCTCTCTGCACAATGCCAACTCTCTCTACCCAAAGACAATCTTATTTCTCTCTATATATATACACACACACACACACTACCAATCCTACTACTCTCCCTTTCTCTGTAAACATTAATACTGCTACTTTCCCTCTCTTCACAAGCCCAAAATGTCACTCTCTCTTTCTACACAGCAAATTCTAGGAGTTTTTTTTCTCTCAGTCCCTCCTATCTCACAACCGTAGCTTGCTCTCTCTCGCTTCTTTTTACAATTTACACAATGCCAACCCTCCTAATCTCTTTCTCTCTCTCTATTTACATAAAGTTAATCATACTAGTTCCTCTACCTCTACAATGAAGCCAATCCTACTAGTCTCTTTCTTTACCAATGTAAACTTTTTCTCTTTAGCCTGTCTGTCTCTTTCTCTTTTACCTTGCATAGCCAATCCTACCACTCTCTCTCTCTCTCTACATAGACTCAAAATGTCACTTTCCCTCTCCCTATAAAGACTGTTTTTGCTTTCCAGATAAGCCAATCCTTCTCGTTTCACTTGCTATCCCTATTTTTCCAATAACTCATAAACATAGCTCTCTCTCTCTCTCTCTCTCTCTCTCTCTCTCT